GGAGTAATTGCAGGGACTAGTCCTCTAGTGTGTGCCGACCTTTATAGTATCAGCACAGAGTAACCAGAGTCCCAGAAATTTTAAATCAAGAGTTATCATGTAACTACTTTAAATTAAAACAATAAAAAAGAACAGAAAGTTAGCAACATCAATACCTCTGTTTACCCAGAGTTTCTTCTGTTTACAAAAGAGTTTCCAAATACACCTTACACCTATTTTCTAAAAATACTTACCATCTTATGTTCATATGAAAGGCAAAACTGTTTAGAATCATACCGATGATCTGACATAACCTCAACTTACAATGGTAAGAAGATCATCAAGGCCAAATATATCCGCAGGAATTCCAGAATTCTTGAGCTGGTTCTTACGTGCATTAATTACCTGACAAACAAAATGGCAATACAGATGAAGGTTCCATAAGCTCAAGTAGAACAAAGAGTCCATTACCGGATACTACTATTAATAAATATTAATAGTAATTTAGATTTCTTTGGTCAATCAAACAGTGAATCTTTACCCTTAAGTGAGAGAGAGTTGACAAGTCTCCATGGATGCTTGCTAAATTGTTTTCCTTTAAAGATAAATGCTCCTGAAATAAATAAGAACAAATAAGATGATATAAGAGGGTGTCAAAGGTGGGTCCTGATCCCTTTCATACTCAAATTTCATCAGTTGAATCCATTGAAGTGTTGGTAGTGTGTAAATCAAAGCATGGGACACATACAGTATAAGTAACAAGTAAACTGACATCCTAAACCCTCTCATGGAAGTGACCAAGACAGAATTTCTCCTTACAATATCAGTGCAGTATCAAGAAGACAAGTGATGAGAATAAAAAAAAATATCAGCCAGTAGATTATTAGTTAATCAGATACCAAGTTCTCTTAAGGAACATCATAAGAATTGTATCACAGACAGTAAGGAGAATTACTAATGAGATCTCGGGAGTGCAAGGGTGAACCCTTTGGCCCCTAAGAGCAGTGCTTTCAGTAAGACCCGGCACCTGCCAGAGCTCCGGCGGGTATTATGTTGTGAGTCGCTGGGTATATTTCACTGCGCTCAAGTCACAGTCACCACGCTCAAGTCACAGTCAAGTCGCTCTCTAGTGGGTGTTGTACCGAGGTAGCCACCTATTTCAAATCTTATTGAAAGCACCGTAAGAGTGACTAGCATCTAATTTCTCTTTACAACATCACCCCTGAATCACACATCATGGTCATGAGAATAAAGAAAGTGATCAGCAACTATAGACACTCTTGATTGTTACACAAATTCTCCTTATCAGCACCTTAAGTGATGTATGTAGAACAGTATGGAGAATATGCACACTCTGATGTTAGGGTGCAAAGGGTTAAGTTGACAGTTCCTCATCTTACTATCAGCACTTGATTGCTTTCAGCATTATCTCAGTAATAAAATATGAAATTAAATACTGATCTCAGACTCTAATAGTACTTGAGTGTCGAAGGTTGAGATTCAGCAGGAGACCACTATCAAGAGGAAGTTTGCATTGTTTACTTTATGCAACGTAAACTGTATTTCCGGTCAATGCAAAACTAGTGACAGCGTGTGCATGCTTGATTTCTGTTAACGTTATCACAGAATTTATGTTTCTCCTAACAGGTTATAGGTACGACACGAAGTTACATTGCTTTTAGAAGTTTAATCCCGTTAATGTTGTTAACTCAAATATCATTTGAAGTTGTACAAAAATGTTTTGGTCATGCTGCAGAAAGTGTTTTTGACATTTGCGATTCGCACAGTTTCGGTGGACAATAAAAGAAAAGTAAAAACCGTAAATGAAATTTTACAAATTCTACTAAATAATGAAATAACCCATCAATGCTCTCACCAGCTTCATCAGGTGAGATAACTCGTCTGGAAGACATTCCAATCCAGTTTGGTTCAACTTCAACCACCGTAAATTTGGCATGTCTGCCACCCGCTTGGGAAAATCCAGCTTCTACAAGAGCCACAGAAACAGTTATTTTAAGACAAAGGAAGTTCATGGATGAAATAAAAGACGTGGAGGTTCAAACCTTGAAGTCATTTTTGGTCAAATCAAGACCACGAACGAACGGCAGCACACCTTCCGCCATTTTGCTGGCCGTCGTTTCAAGTTTAAACTCAATCTTCCCTCTGGGGTGGGCTACGGATCGTACAGTTGCATGAAAGTTTTTGTCATTTTTTTCAAACTATGCGCGAAAAAAAACAAAGAAACCCTCCCCAATTTTGATCAGATCAAATCTAAAATTAAGATTAAGAGAAAAATTTTGGTCATCGATTACTTTGAAAAATTAGATCAATATTAGTGTCTGACCAACTGCGCACCTACCCGTCCCTAACCTAAAATCAACCCAAAACCGTCCTCAGCTGACTCTTGTAGAATTAGGGGAGGAGTAGATGCGTCACTGATGGGAAAAACTCTGAGCTTCCCTTCCCCTCCCTATAAGTGTCTCAGTTGTCATTGGAAAGGAACACGCGCGAAATGGCTGCAATCGAGAAGAAGAAAACTTGGACGGAATTGTTGCCTTCGTTGTTTGATTTACTCGTAAACAACGCCGATGGAGTGATAGATGACACAAGCTTGGAAAGAATACTTGAATGGTTAAAATGTGTGTGCCAAAATGAACAGCAAGTTGGAAATCTCTTTCAGTGTGGAACCGTCGAGTTCATGTCAAAAGATCATATTTTCTCCAATCCTGAATCAGCAGCATTCTTTCTTAGATTATTGGGATTTCTTGTTTCCAGGGCGGATATTCTTCACTCTTTAAAATTTAGAAAAGACGGAGACATTGTTTCACGGTTTTTTAAGAAACCCAGAGATGAGCCTCACTTGTGGAACGAGGGAATTGTAAGAAATGGCTATTTCCAGGCATTGATTTCTCTTACAGAACACACAGATGGAATGTTCTGGCTTAAAGATTCAGGTAAGAATCTAATCATGAATGATGGGAAGGAGGCAGTGCACCCAACCAGTGAATTTGCTATGGGAGGTGAATTTGCTATGGGGGGTGAATTTGCTATGGGGGGTAAATTTGCTATGGGGGGTGGATGGGGGGAACTTCCTGGTAATGATAGGCTGATGAGAATGTGCCAGTGGATGGGGTCGCATTTTCACAACTGTATTGACTATCATGGGTTTCATTTTCTGTAGAGTTACTAGAATGAGGTTGCACATTCTCAGGATAGGGGGCTAAGAAAATTCTGGTAAGTAGGGATTTAAAAGTGGGAAGATTGTTAAGTGGGAAGATTGTTAGCCAAAAGTGGCTAAGGTATATAATTGGCCAAAGAAGAGACCATAATGGGGAAGGGGTTCTGAGAGGTCAGCTACACATACCCATCTAAAATTGACTGAAGAACACCCCACATCTTTCCGGGAATTTTGCTGCAGGGATTTGATGAAGATATCATGTGGCAAGGTTCCTCAAGGAACGTACCCTGGAGGGATAGGTTTTGATGGCCTTTCACTCTCCGAAAAATGGTGGTAGAAGAGATGATGTGCCTTTCTAAAGAGGGGATGCTTGGCAAGCAGGCACTCATTTGTGCTGTAGTATCAGCAAGAAAGGGACAAGTCATGAGCTACAGACTCTTGCCCATATCTTGTATCTTGAGGATTTGCTTTTCTTGCTGCAGTGCCATATAAGAACCTGCTCACAGGCTGTATGTAAATATTAGTTTATACAAAAATAAGGGAAAGGGTAACTTAAGGTTTGCTAAAAATATATCAAGCTCTCGATCCTTCTCTTTCTGGTAAGAGCTCTTTTTTGGAGCAAAACAAAAGAATGAAATAACCCTTTGATCTGTAGTTTGTAACTAGCTGTAGCATCCAATTTCACCTTACAATATCACCCCTGAATCACACATCAGTGTCTCAAGAATAAAGAAATGATCACCAACCAAAGAAGCCCCTGACTGTTAATCAAGTTCTCCTTGTCACCACCTCAGGAAATGCATAAAGAACAGTAGGGAGAAAATGCACACTAATGTTAGGGTGTCAAGTATGTATAGGTAATCACATGATTTCGAGTCCAATTTGGAATAAACAAGCACGGGTAAATTTTTTCAAAGACTAACAAAATTGCATGAGCCCGTAGGGCTAATGCAAAAATTGTGGTCTTTGAAAAAATTTACAAGTGTTTATTTATTCCAAATTGCATGAGAAAATCATGTGATTATCTATTAATAATATACATGAAAAAATACGAGCTAGTTTCTCATAACTACGCAGAAGAGAAGCGTGCACAACACGTGCAAAAATAATTTATTCAAACCCTGCAAGTGATATTGACCTTGACATCGACCTTGACATTGACCTTGACATTGACCAATCATTCTGACCAATCAGAATGTCTGATTTGTTTCTTTCTTTGCACTGAATTAACCCTCTTCTGCACTGAATAAACTCTCTTCTGCACTGAATTAACTGAAAACTGCATTCATCTTAACCAATCAGAACTGAGAAATTTTTTCATGTTA